TCTCTGCATGTGTGGGAAACTTTTCGAGTTTTGGGATGGTGTCGTGGAGATCTGCTTCTCTTGGTTCTGAGCCTCTGCATGTTTCAGTCAAAAACACGACTCTCCTCAATATTCAATTCTCACTCTCCTTACTTCTCAACAGAAGTAATTCCTGGTGGAAGGGTAAAGAGCACAGAAGAGTCATAGACCAAGAGTGGCCAAAGTCAATGACCTTGGGCAAACCCACTAAGCTTCTTCCTACCAGAGCCATGATGTGAAGAGTAAGTGCAAAACAAACTGCTCCAGAAGGAAGGCTAATGGGAGGAAGGAGCTGCATCATATCCCCCCTTCAGCAATGGTCTCCTCTGTAGGGATCCTATGAATTCTGAGCTCATAGCAATATGAGGCCAGAAAAGGATCAGATAGCAAAGAGAAGGAAGAACTCGACGGTTTTAACAGCAATTATTCCCAACATTATTAATTGTTTTTTTCTTGGAAAAAATGGCAAAGAAAATACAGAATTTATTCCAGGCCTGCTAAAATACATCTAGCTGGAATTGTTTCTATTATTAATGAATCAAAAACTTCTTATCACTTTTTAAACTTTTATTGTCTCACAATTTTTGTTTTGGCTGCACACCTTTTAATCCTCCAGAATGGGATCGCCGTGTTATCGTGGAAAAGGAATGAACTTGGATCCAGATTATCTAATTTGAACATCATGGCCTTGTCACTTACTGGAGATAATGCCTAGCTTCAATGGCTGTCATAAGGAGTAAAAACGTTTCATAGCTTATAACAATTTATACACATGTAAGTTATGATAGGGGCAACATTACCAAGTGGAAAGAACCAAGAAATCCTGATTCAAGTTTCAACAGTATCACTTTGACCAAGTCAAGTTCTCTGAACTCAATTGCCCCATCTGGATTGTTGCAAGGATTAAATATTAACTTATGTAAAGTTAATAACCGACATTCAATAAAACAGCTATTATATTGAAGATTTTTTTCCTTTCCTTTAGTCATTTTTCATTCATTTATTCAAAAAATATTTATTGCTGAAACCGGTTTGGCTCAGTGGATAGAGCGTCGGCCTGCCGACTGAAGGGTCCCAGGTTCGATTCCGGTCAAGGGCATGTACCTGGGTTGCGGGCACATCCCCAGTGGGAGATGTGCAGGAGGCAGCTGATCGATGTTTCTCTCTCATCGATGTTTCTAACTCTCTATCTCTCTCCCTTCCTCTCTGTAAAAAAGTCAATAAAATATATTAAAATATATATATATATATTTATTGAGTAATAGGCACAATGCTAGGGTATGATGGTAAGACATATAAAACTACCATCATGGACTTATCATGTAGTAGGAGACACACACAAATAAACAGAATACCTATATGTATAAACAGGTAATATGCAAATTAGCCAGGCGTCACAACTGCTCAGGCGGAGCTGCCCTCGCAGATGGGCGGGAGGGAACTGCATGCAGCCCCAGACCCAGCGGACACACACCAGCAGCCACGGTGCAGCTCGGAGCACTCCCCCACCCCAGTGGACACACACCAGGAGTGGGGACGTGTTCCCAGCGGCCACTGCGCAGCTCAGAGCACGCCCATGGTGGGTGGCAGCAGCAGCCAGAGCGAAGCAGCCCCATCCCAGATGCCTGGTGGTGGCTGGAGCAAAGCATCCCGGGTCCCGTGGGTGGTGGCGGCAGCTAGCAAAGCAGCCCAGGTCCTGGGTGCCAGAGGGAAGCCAGTGGCGGCAGCCAGGGGAAGGAAGGCCTATTCTTGCACAAATCTTCGTGCATTAGGCCTCTAGTTACAATATAATTTTGTATGTAGTGTAATAAGGAAAGTATAGGGTAGTGTGGGAACCCAGATGAGAAATACTTTACCCAATTTAGGTTAGTATCACAGAGGCCTCTTAGAGATATGTCATTGAACTGAAAACTGAAAGATGAATAGTATTAACAAGTGAAGAAGAGGGAATAAAGAAAAAATTCCAAGCAAAGACACATGCAAAGGCCCAGGAGCAAGAGAAATAATGTTCGTCAAAGAATACCTCAAAATATCCACCAATACATATTCTCTGTTCTGGGATTAGAACATAAACACCCTCATAGAGATCTTTTTGTCCTTTTCTTGGCCATTGACATTATGTCTTTGAGACTTTCATCTATTCAAAACCGTTGAAGAAAACATTTTCATCTTCAGCCAAAATCCTACCATTTCCAATCATGATTATCAAGTATAAACTCCCAATAATTCACAGTGTATATTCTTAATTCAATCTAGTGATACTGTAAGCATATGGACTGGATGATGATAGATAAAAACCACTCTCTTCTCTCCATGAGCTTAACGGTCCAATTAGGAAAATAAAACACAGATTATAACATAAAACAGGATGTGGCTCCTAGTATACTACTGGTGGGAATGTAGATTGGTGAAGCCACTGTGGAAAACAGTATGGAGTTTCCTCAAAATATTAAATATGAAACTTCTGTTTGTCCCTGCAATTCCACTTCTAGGAATATATTTTTTTAATAATAATAATAATCAGAAAAAATATATGTACCCCTATGTTCATAGCAGCAGAGAAACAAAGGAAAAACTAAACACATGGGACTACATCCAAATAAAAAGCTTCTGCACAGCAAAAGAAACCACCATTAAAATGAAAATGGAACCCACTGTATGGGAAAACATATTTGCCAATGATACATCTGATGAGGGGTTGATTTCCAAAACATATGAAGTACTCATACAACTCAACAAAAGGAAAACAATCCAATTCAAAAATGGGCAGAGGACCTGAAGAAACATTTCTCCAAAGAGGACATACAAATGGCCAAGAGACATATGAAAAAATGCTCAAAGTCACTAATCATCAGAGAAATGCAAATTGAAACCACAATGAGATATCACCTTACAACTGTCAGAATGGTTATCATCAATAAATCAACAAACAAGTGCTGGCGAGGATGTGGGGGAAAAGAAACCCTAGTATACTGCTAGTAGGAATATAAATTGGTGCAGCCACTATGGAAAACATTATGGAGTTTCCTCAAAAAATTAAATATGGAACTTCTGTTTGTCCCTGTGATTCCACTTCTGGGAATATATACTTTAAAAAAACAATCAGAAAACATATATGTACCCTTATGTTCATAGCAGCATTATTTACAATACTGAGATTTGGAAACAGCCCAAGTGCCCATTAGTGGATGAATTGATTTTTAAAAAGGCTGCAGGACATATACACGATGGAATACTATACATCTGTAAAAAAGAGGGCTCTCTTGCTTTGGGGCAGCATGGATGGGACCTGGAGACTATTATGCTAAGTGAAATAAGCCAATCTGAGAAAGACAAATATCACATGATCTCATTATCTGTGGAATCTAATGAATAAAACAAATTGACAAACAAAATAAGACCTGAAGCATGGAGGCATAGAACAGACTGACATACCTCCATGTGGAGAAGGGGGGACAAGGAGAGATAAACCAAAGAACTTATATACTTACTAGTGGCCTGGTGCACAAAATTCATGCACATTAAAAGGGAATTAATTAGAGGAAATATTTTAATATTGCTATTTGCCCTTTCTCTATAAAACAAGTGTCAGAGATGAAAGAAAATTAGTAAAATGTGTATGAAAATAATATATAAATTTATTAATAAATAAACATTAACAGTGTCACGTCCCTGGCTGGCACCAGACGGGGTACGCAGCCTCATGTCCCCCGGCCTCGCCGTGCACACAGCCCTGCCCACCTGCGCCTGCTGCGCATGCAGCCTCCTGCTGATCGGTCGTTATGGCATCAAGACAATTTGCATATTACCCTTTTATTAGTATAGATGTGCATAGCCATGGACATGAACAATAGAGTGAAGACCTGGGGTGAGAGGATAGAGTAGGGGCTGGGAAGAAGGAGGGGTGAGGGGGAGAAGGGGAGACATCTGTAATACTGTCAACAATAAAATTAAAAAATTATTTAAAAACAGGATGTGATTAAATATTACTTTAGTGGCTGAACAATAAATGTAATAGAAATTTACACAAGGATTGACCATGATAAAAATCTTATAAATGCCACTGCAGCTTTGGAGTAGTTTCCTCACATCATTTAGTGAGGCATATGGGAATACACACAAACACACACACACATACACACTTTGACAAGTTTATCTGTTCTGTTATTCAACAAATATTTAAGTTGTCTACTGTTATATGTACATAACAGATAAACAAAGGTCCTGCCCACACAGATCTTATATTTTTGTTGGCAGGGGAGGAGGCAATACAAGTAAACACTTCACCTATATATCTTATTTAATCTTTGAAATAACTCCACGAGTTAGGATTTATCATCCTCCTTTTACAAAGTAGACATGGGACATTAAATAACTTGTCCAAGGTCAAACAGCTAGCAATTAGCACAGCCAAAAGCTTAACCTAGGTCTATCAGGTTATAAAGCCTGGGTCCCATGTGAGCCATTCCATTCCCCGGAACCCAGCTTCTCTGATATGCTATTGGTCCTGAAACAGTTGCCCAGCATTTAGCCAAGTGATTCTCACAATCTCTCCTACTGAGCTATAGTGTGAGCTATTTCTTACTCCTGTTGTGTTCTTCCATTCATCTGTATTATTTTTCATTGTGATTTTTGGTTTCCATTTCAAAATGTATCTACAGGTTTCATTCTATGCAATTCCCTTCTCTGCTTTAACAGCTTCAGCAAATTCATTCATTTTCCTCATTCACAATAAGTTACTGATTAGTAGCACTATACTCGTCTTTAAAGATAGGGTTCTTATGAGTTATGCGGCAACTGTGTTATGTTGGGAGGATTATTGTATTTGGATTTTATACACATTAATATTACCTCTACAGTTGAACAGTTAAGTGCCTGGCTCTTTTCTAAATTGTCTCATTTCGTTTCAATAACACTGCAAGTTATTAAAATGTTATCCTGTTTCACAGATGAGGAAATGAGGTTCAGAAAGGCTGAATTACTTGCTCACGGCCAGGATGTAGTAAATCCAGGTCTTCTCATGCGTTTTCCACTACACCATGCTGCTTCTACCTAAAACTACAGAAATCACAGAAATGGGGATTCAAAAGAACCTCATGGGATCTTTACATGATTCCTTCCTGTGTAGGCATCTTTTCTCTAGAATCCTATCCAGTGGTCAGGTCTCTTGTTGAAAGTCTGGCTCTGTCACAGGCTAATTTCGACCTCTGTGGGCCTTAGTTTTCTCATCTGTAAAAAGGAATGCTACTATTTACCTCAGGGTGATTGTGAAGATCAAATGATTAAGTATGCAAAGATCCAGGGCAAACAATAAAGCACTTTACAAATGCTCCCTGAACTTTCTTTACAAGTAAGTTCGAACTCTAAAATATTTTTATTTCTGAATTGTAAATGGATTTTCTTTCATATACTACTTATTTCATAATCACAAATTTATATCGAGCAATATATCCACAGCTCTTCCTAGAAGACAAAATTATTTTACATTACTACTAGACGTAAGACCAAGCTTACAATGTAAATTTTTCTCAAACTCTTTTGAACATGGAGGAAAATATCAACTTTGGAACAGCTATGAGAAAGTGAATTTCACCTTAAATGTGCAGTTATGTAAAACAATTAATGGCTTACAATAGGACTGCTCTTATGTGAATTTTCTAACATAATTTCACTAAAATTTATACACATATTGAAAATACCAATACAATTATAATAATAGAAAACATTTATTGAGCACTTAACATTTGTTAACTCATGTAATAAAATTCTTCAGTTATAGGAAAATAATAACAATTAAAGAAAAGTTTAACAGTTAAAGGAAAGTTAGTATAGGATGCTAATAAAATTATATAGGCCAAAGAAAAACTACATAGCATACATAACCTGATTTTTTAAAGAGCTTTCAATAAATACCCAACAACATAAATGTTTTAGAGCCCTTTATAGAAACTATAGATAAAGTAAGTTAATTTTGTTGTCTGTGGAATGTCCACATGTATGCTCATTTAAAACTGATCCATGGGTATAATATTATGTCCCTTTATCGAAATAAATGAAAAATTCGATTTCTCTATTTACTTTCTATTTCTTTAGCTTTTAATTCATCGCAGTACATTAATTTTAAAAACTGTCATTTCCAGGATTTTTTTTGTGCTTCTTTCCTTGACATTCATATTGTTTCCCTTTCTTTTCCAAGGATTTATTCTAAAAAGCCATAAAAACATATAAGCATATATGTATTTGTATGTGTGTAAATGCACAGTATCTGTATCTTTTTCTAAAATCAGCATTTCTCTTGATAATGAGTAAAAATCAAACCAGGACAGAAGGTTCATCCCTTTCTCACCCCATATTAAGGTAGAAAGGTGGAAATAATACATCATATCATTTGTGTTTCATAAGCTCATCTCATTAAATAAAAATACTTACTGTTTACTTACAGCCAATGCCCTTTAAGTTGCTTGTGATGGTGTTTTTTCATCAATGATATCTGAAAAATCAAAGAAATTCAGTTTCCCACCTTCTAAGCTTCTTACATTTTCTAAATGATGCAGGCTTAAGAGTTGCCAAATGAGATGGGCAACGGCAGCCAAATAGCGGTTCCTAGCCAACCTAAAAATAGCAGGTGGTGGGCAGATATACCATTGCTCCTTGCTCTTTTTCCTCCCCACCCCCCTAATATCTAAGTGCCAAAATAATGATTTGTTCAAAATTAAAACAGTACAAAAAGAATTATATTATCTCTTGCCCTAATATCTAGACAGGTGGTCAGTTAGGAAAATTTGGTAAAAAAACAAAGATATGAAAGTCAAGGCAAACCTTACAGAAAGGTTTCCATACCCAATTTCCATATTCTAAAAAAAAGAAAATCTGACCATAACTTGCTGGAATCAAAAACTGCCATTGGCCCTGGCTGGTGTGGCTTGGTAGGTAGGAGCATTGTCCCATACACCAAAAGGTTATGGGCTCAATTCCCAGTCAGGGCACACACATAGGTTGCTGATTTGATCCCCAGTCAGGGCATGTGCCAGAGGCAACCAATTGATCTTTCTCTCTTACATTGATGTTTCTCCTCTTTCCCTTCCTCTCTCTCTAAAAGCCAATAAAAATATATATTCTCAGGGGAGGTTTACAGGAAAAAAACTGTCTTTGCTTTTTATTTTTCTTTCCTGTTGATCTTTGAATAATAACTATTTACATTTGATATTTATAATTTAAGAAGTCCTTTCACAGATTTTGTGTTGTGGGCTCCTTAAAACAAGCCTGTACTAGCATTATAATATAAAAAATGAAAAAACTGAAGTTCATAGAAGTTGAAGCTTGCCCAAGACCATCCAGATGAAAAAGAGACCAATCTGTCTTGAGATTCCACATTTGTCACATACACTCACACACACTCACACACACACACACACACACACACACACACACACACACCTACCTATCTTCCTAACAACTCTAACATAAAATGGCTGTTAAGAATTTAACTTTTAAACTTTCACACATGTACAAATAAATTTTATGGGGAAAATGTTACAATAAATTTTCTTGGATTAAAAAGTCCTTTAAAAATTCAAAAATTCTACAAAATGTGAAAATATGAATTTACTAATCATATTAATTACATAATGACAAATTACTTTTAAAATTCATTTTTCAAAATATTATTCACTTAAGAGAAGAAATTAAATAAGGAGTTATCATCGACATTTAAGTTTTATTTGTTTGACTATGGAAACCAAGAAATGCACAGCATGGAAGGGAATACTAATATGTAAGTGGTTCTTTCTCAGTGGGAGGATTACAGATTTTTTTCCTTCTCATATTTTCTGTACATTTCAAACTTTGTAGGATCAAGAAAATATTGGCTTAATTGCATTTTCAAAAATGTCTCAGACATTAAAACTTTTTTATAATAAACAACAACAAAAAAAACCCAACTGAACACAAGACAGGCCAGTGTTGCTCAGTGGTTGAGCACTGACCTATAAACCAGGAGGTCAAGGTTCAATTCCCAGTTAAGGCACATGCCCAGGTTTCAGGCTAAATCCCCAATAGGGGACGTGCAGGAAGCACCTAATCAATGATTCTCTCTCATCATTGAAGTTCTTATTTCTCAGTCCCTCTCTCTTCCTCTCTGAAATCAATAAATATATATATATATATTTTTTTTTACAAAGTAGAACATGAAATTGAATCCATAGTGTTACCTCAACTTGGTAAAAAAGAAAAATGTTTCTTTGTAGATGCAAGTACATACAGCTGGAAGGCAAAAGCCTGATAGGATTGGTTAACTTCTGCATGATGGGATTCAGAAAATTATCTTCTTATTTGAACATTTCTGCAACCTCCAAATTGTGTTAATGGGCATATTGTCCATTAAAATAGTTTCCTTCACTTTATGAAGGAAATAAATATGTTAGGCTTATTGTCATTGCCAACTGGAGATCAAGTGGAAGTAAAAAAAAATCATCTCATATAATTAATAGTAATATACCCAAGTTCTAATTTATAAAATTTTCATCTTCATGTCCAATAAATTAGGTACAGGTATTCCTTATTAAGCATCTATCCTATCTAATAAAAGAGAAACATGGTAAGTAGCCATACCTCCGCTACCCTTCCCATTGGCTAATCAGGGCAATATGCAAATTAACTTCCAGCCAAGATGGTGGCCGGCAGCCAGGCAGCTTGAAGCGAACATGAGGCTTGCTTGCTTCAGTGATGGAGGACTCCAACGTTCCCCACCTGCTGCTGCTGGCCTCTGAGCTTGCAGTTTGAAACATTGTTATAAATATAGAAGCTAAACACAACCCCAGAAACCTGCTATCAGCCAGCCAGGATCTCAGAGCTGGAGTTGAAACAGTGTTTCAATTACAGAACCCAAACAAACCAGATACCTGCTTTCAGCAGCGGAGGCCTAAGAGCTGGAGCCAAGCCTCAGAGCTAAAGCTGGCCCAGAATAAAAAAAAAGAAAAAAAGGAGCGGTTGGAGCTTCAGTCACCTGGCAGCCTGAAAACAGCCCTCAGCTCCTCACCCAGACTGGCCAGGCACCCAAGCAGGACCCCCACCCTGATCCAGGACACCCTTCAGGGCAAACCAGCCGGCCCCCACTCATGCACCAGGCCTCTATCCTATATAGTAAAAGGGTAATATGCCTCCCGGCACCGGGATCAGCGTGACAGGGGGCAGCACCCAAACCCCCTGATCGCCCTGCGGCTCTGTGTGTGACAGGGGGCGGGGCCACAACCTCCCTATCCGCCCTGCTCTGTTCCTGACAGGGGAAGGCGCCCCAACCCCCTGATCAACCCTGCTATGTGCCTGATAGGGGGGAGCTCCCCAACCCCCTGATCGCCCTGCGGCTCTGTGTGTGACAGGGTGTGGCGCCCCAACCCCCTGATCGGCCCTGCTCTGTGTGTGGCAGTGGGTGACGCCACAACCTCCCCATCAACCCTGCCTTGAGTGTGACAGTGGCGGTGCCCCAACCCCCCAATCGGCCCTACTCTGAGGCCAACCAGGGGCTGCACCTAGGGATTGGGCCTGCCCACTGCCACCCGGGAGCAGGCCTAAGCCAGCAGGTCGTTATCTCTTGAGGGGTCCCAGACTGTGAGAGGGCACAGGCCGGGCTGGGGGATCCCCCCCTTCCCCCCGAGTGCACAAATTTTTGTGCACCGGGCCTCTAGTATATATATATAAAAGCCTAAGTGACCATTACGACCGAACAACCAGAACGACTGGTCGACCAGTTGTTCTGACGTGCACTGACCACCAGAGGGCAGACACTCAATGCAGGAGCTGCCTCCTGGTGGTCAGTGCGCTCCCACAGCCAACCTCCCGTGGCCCCTCCTCCCCCCTCCCCCACCAAACTCCTGCAACCCCTCTCCCCTCCCCCGGCTGGGCCCCCCATCGGCCCCAATCAGGGGACTGGCTAGCCAACCTCTTGGGGCCTCTCCCCTCAGCTGGCCAGCCCCCTGATAGGCCTCAATCACCGGCCAGGCCAAGGGACCCCACCATGCATGAATTTGTGCACCGGGCTTCTAATAAAAGATAAGGGTCAACATGCAAACCCTCATCTCTGTGACTTCCTGGAGAACCACTTCCTGGATGAGGAGGTAAAATTGATCAAAAGATGGGCGACCACCTGACTAACATCCGCAGGCTGGCTTACCCTCAAGCACGACTAGGAGCCTTTGGAGCTCAGAGGCCTTTCAGAGGCCCCTCTGCATCCCCTGGTGTCTCTGACTTTTACCTAAGCCTCTTCCCAAAACTACTAGTAATTCTTTTAACCACCCTGGAGCCCTCCCCCATGCATTGGACCAAATGAAACAATAAAGCTTTTTGCAGCAAAAAAAAAAAAAAGAGAGAGAGAAAGGGAGGAAGGGAGGAAGGGAGGGAGGGAGGGAGGGAGGGAGGGAGGGAGGGAGGGAGGAAAGAAAAGAAAGGAAGAAAGAAAGAAAGGAAGGAAGGGAGGGAGGGAGGGAGGGAAGGAAGAAAAGAAAGGAAGAAAGGAAGGAAGGAAGAAGATAAGGGTCAATAATTTTTGCTGATAATCAAATCTGTTTTTAAAAACCCTGTATTACATTTTCAATATAGAATTCAGGATTTTGGTTTCTGAATGTAAACAAAAGCCCTCTAAAGATCACAAATATATATAATTGTAGAAACTAGGTCTATGTATGTGAAGAGGTGCACACACACGAGGATGTATACACAGTAAAATATAAGAATGTGATGGGATTTCCAGTAGATTATACTTTTTTCTTTATAATAATCTCCATATTAAATATTGCTCTAGTATGCAAAAGATTAGGAATGCCTCCCCTACCTCCTTTAGCTTGCTTCTTCATTTGTAACAAAATAGAAATTGCAGAACACTAAGAGATAAATGCCAGTCAAGGGTTTCGCCCACTTTCCTTTTAGTCCCTATTAAATAATATCAAGTATTACCCAGGCATTACTTGCACTGCTACACAAAAGGCAGAATTCTTTAACCGTCTGGACAGTCTGAGGGCCTGACCAGGCATGAAGCCACTGCAGAATTTTTGCCTGCAGCCTACAACCATGCCTTTGCAGAAACATCTGGGCAACTGTTTCAGTGGGGTGGGGAATAAGGCATCCTGCCACTTATATCATTTCCCCAGGGCAGAAATATCGGGTTTATAACACTAATTTTGTCAAATAAGAGAGGAGTAATAGGCTTCTCTCTAACTTCTACAAAAACAGAAAGAGCAAGGGCAATTTCTAAAGAAATTGACTTTAAAGATTATTTACAGACACGGAGAATTCTTTGTTGTAACCTATCTTCTAGGAAGGGGTACAAAGATTCTATGTATTGCTTAAAAACAAAAGATAAAAACCATAGCCTGTTAAAATGAGTGTACATCTACTTCCCAAGAGAAGGAAGGTCTCTTGGTGTTAGGAGTATCAAGCATGAAATTCTCCTGAGGCTTTTTCATAACAAATATTTATTACTTTATAATCAGAAAACAA